CTATAAGAGACCCACTTCAAATATACAGGTGGATCAAAAGTAAAAGAATGACAAAAGTTACATTTTGCAAACTTTAATCAACAGAAACTAATACTGATGTCAGAAAGTAGTCTTCAGAGCAAAGAAAAGGTTCAGAGATAGAGTTGGACATTACCTAATGATAGAGTCAATCTACCAGGAACCCTAAGTATAAATCTACCAACTAACAGAGCTGTAAAATACGTGAATCAAAAATTGATAGAGGCTGGGTGCTGGTGGCTCACACATAGTCCTAGCTACTCAGGAGGCAGAAATCAGGAGGATCGTGGTTTAAGGCCAGTCTGGGCAAAAAAAACTAAAACAAAAACAAAAAAACATGAGACCCTACCTAAAAAATACCCAACACATACAAAAAAGGGCTGACAGAGTGGCTCAAGTGGTAGAGGACCTGCCTAGCAAGTCCTGAGATCAAACCCCAGTACCACCAAAAAACAAACAAGTAAAAAACCCTCCAAAAACCTGATAGAACAGAATGGAGAAATAATCAAATTTACATCTGTATCCAGAGACTTCAAAAACACTCAACAATTGATAGAATGACCAGACAGAAAGTCAGAAAACACATAGAACTCAATAACATCAAACAAGATATAATTAATTGTTACAGACCATGCTACCCAATAACAGTGGAGTTCATGTTCTTTCAAGTGCCCAAGAAATACATACCAACACAGATCACATGTTGGGTCATAAAAAGTCTTCAACAAGTTTATATGAATTGAAATCATATAGAGTATGTTCTCTGATCATCAAGGAACCACACTAGAAGCCAATAAAAGTAAGATAAAAGGAGATCTTGGAACACTTGGAAATTAACACAAGCAAAGAAGTAGTTTCATTGAACTGAACAACCATGAAACACAACATGTCAAAATTTGTGGGCTATAAATCTAAAGTGAAATGTACAGCACTAAATACATTATAAAAGAGAGCAAGTCTCAAGTCAATATTCTAAGCTCCCTCAGTGAACTAGAAAAAGAGCAAAAGATGCACCTAAAGCAAGCAAAAGGAGGGAAATAATAAAAATAAATGGAAAACTTAAACAGAAAATATCAATGAAAGAAAACAAAAAGGTAGTTCAAAATCAATAAATCTCTATTAGGACTGACAAAAAAGAAACAAAGAGAAAAAAAGAAAGATGATAAATGATGAGGATGAATATCAGGAATGAAACAAGGCTGTCACTACAGATCCAGCATGTATAAAATGGACAATAAAGGATACTACAAATAAGTCTATACACATAAACATGACAGCTTAAATGACATTAGTACTTAAAGAGTATATATTACTACAACTTACCCAGTATGAAATAATAATGTGACTAGTACTATAACTATTAAACAAACAGAACTTGTAAGTTTTAAAAATTTCCAGGCCTACATGGTTTCACTGGAGAATTCTGCCAAAGAAGATTTTTTTCCCCAAGGAAGAATTAATATAAGTTTTTATATAGTCTTTTCAAGAAAAGAGATGAGCAGAGAACATTTGCCAATTTCTTTTTTAAGGTCAGTATTATCCTGATATCAAAACTAGACCAGGATGGTACAAAATAGAAAACTTCAGACCAATAGCCCCTGTGGACATAAAAAGACAAATGGGTGGCCAAAATGTAGTACAACTGGAATTCCTTTACATTGCTGGTGGTAATATCAACTGATACAACCCTTTTGGAAAATTGTTTGAAATAATCTACCAAAGTTGCTCAGCATTTATACTTCTGGGCACAGACTCAACAGAAATGCTCCCATATGCTAAAAAAAAAAAAAAAAAAAAAAAGACCTTTTCAAGGATGCTGATAACAGCGTTATTCTAATAACCTCAAATATCCACCTATCTACCAGCAATAGAGTGGGTAAATAATGATATGTACACACAATGAAATAAATGTGATATAGCAATGAAAGTGAAAAAACTAAACACATGGAACAACATGGGTGAATCTCATCAACAATGTTGAGTGAAAGAAGCCAGGCACCAAGATAACATGCTGTAAGAATCCATCGATATAAAGTTCAAAAACAAGCAAAACTACTCTGTGGTGTTAGGAAACAGGAAAGTGATTATTCTTCTGGAAACATGGAGGGTACCTGGAAAGTTGGTTGTGTCTGTCTCTTGTCTGAGTGCTGGTTACATGGATGTGTACGCTTAGCATATGTGTACTTTCCTTTATGCATACTGTATTCAATTATAAGTTGATATTATTTATTGCTTTATAAAATTTTACTTAGTTATTTGTTTATTTATTAGATAGGGTCATGTTATGTTGCCCAGGCTAGTCTTATACTCCTGGTCCCAAGTAATTTTCCTGCCCCAGCCTCACGAGAAGCTGGGCTTTATAGGTGAGTGCCACTGTGCCCAGCTGATTCCGATCATTTTTATAAATGATAAAAAGCAAAAACATCAGTCTGCTGGATCTGGTGACATGAGGATGACAGGTGACCTCAAGTTCTGAGGAAGTGGCGGGTGTGGGGATCTAACATTAATTCTCATTTTACAAGCAGAATACTAAAGCACAGATCAGTGGAGAGGCTGGACCAGTGTTCCAAAGCTACTAAGTATCAGAGCAGGGATTTGAACCCTGGAGCAGAGCTGTTGGTTCTTCATCGCTAAACCAGGCTGCTGTCTTATCATTAAGAGCACAAACACAATGAGAAAAGGCAACAGTAGACAGGAACATTCAAATGCACAAGTCGGAGGTACTCTGCACAAGGAAACAGGTGCAGCAACATGAAACCCTTGCAGACATCTCTCTATTACAGTGGCCATCCAGGCCAGCTGGATCAATATTCACAGACAAGCAAGTGTGATGTGAGGAAAGGCAAGAGGCTCAGTGTGTCACATTTATTGAGACAGGGAAGTATGTAATACTTGAAAGATTTTGGGGTAAGGGGCAAACTGTGATTATATCTGGAAAAATCATTTGTGGTAAACATCCAATAATCTCACAACGTCAGAGACAAATGAAGTGTGTATACATGTATTGCATGTGTGCACAGGCTATGTTCCTTCAGGGGAAAATCTTATTTTGGCTTAGAAGAGAAAAAAATGCCCTATCATTAGTCTTTTTTTTTAAAGGGGTAATTAAGATTTTGTGATTAGACCAAGGTATAATTATAGGCCAGAACAGGACAACTTAATAGAATTAGTGTTGAAGAATTAACTTAAGCTACCATATACAAAGCCACTGTCTGCAGTCTTAATTATGAGACAGGGATTACTGCATAAATACCACTCATTCTGTCAGTTCCTTTTATTGCAAAAATAGGAAGATGCAATGGACATGCATAGGAGAATAAAGAATCTGACCTGTATATTCACAATACAATATGATACAATATACAATATTATTGATATAACACAATATTGCTGATGACTACAAATTGGAAGGGAGTAGCTAGTAAAGCAAGGGAGTCAACTAAAGCTGTTTTGGAAACGTGCATGGTTTTCTATTATGAGTTTTTTCTTAATGGTACTGGGGTTTGAACTCAGGTTCTCATGCTTGCTAGGCAACTCTACCACTTAAGTCACTTTGCCAGCCCAATAATGAATTTTTTTTTAAATTGAGTTTTCATTAGAAATATCTTCTGGAAATAGCTTAAGAAACTATTTCCAAATTTAAAAATGTTTGCTGACTTAAAATCTATAGGTCCTTTTGCTAATATAAAGTAAGTGCCATTTATACATTTGATACTCATTTATTCATACTGAGCCTATATGAGTCTCTCAGTGGAACAAAAGACAGAGATAAAATCACTTGCTTTTGGTCATAGAGATGAGAAACTCAAATTAGGAGTGAAGCTCTTTTACTGTTCTGAGGCAGTTGCTGAGTTGTGGGTAACTGGTGTGGAGACCAAGACACAAACTAATCTATATCTTAAAAACTCAAAGCCTAAGCCATGCTACTTGCCTAGCTAATCTTTCCTCTCTGGGATGGTCTCCACCTGCCAATCTGGTTCCCAGATTCTCTGAGTCCTTCTCACAGCCTTGCTGTCTCAGTTTCTCTCATAAGGAACCCTTTCCATGACCCCTGGCCATATTCTGCTCAGCTCAGACATACCTGGAAATTTTCCTCTGACTTTTATTTCACCTCTGATCACCCTCTCCATAATTATTTGTACTTGAATGTCTAGACAGCGAATCATCTATGTAACATTTCCATGATACCTTTGAATTAAGTTCACTGTTCCAAAATTGATTGAGTGGAATATGTATTTTGTATTATATGTTTATCCACTTGACCAAATACAATATAAGAGATGAGAAAAAGGGAACATCAATGTAGGAAAATCTGTCTTTAGTGTTTTAAAACTTGTTTTAAATATAAACATTTCCTGAAATGCAGAAGTGAATGTGATGAATGTCAAGTGGATATTTTTTCACCTTAACTGGCTGATCAGAAGAGTATTTATAACCCCCTGACTGATGTCTCAAGCTGATAAATCAATACCAAGGGAGAATATTTCAAGCACATTTATCATTTAAGACAAACAGTCTCTACTTAGCATGATTATTTTTTATTCATCATTTTACCTCACCTCTACATTTTCTCCTTCTTGGTGTTAACAATATCTGTATAATAATTCTCAATATTTAATGTTACAGATTTCCTGCTGCATGCTGATGAGGTTAAAATCACATGTTTGAATTCTAAAGACCAGTTAGTTTTGCTGAGAGAGAGAGAGATCAAGAAAAGAAAAGAAGGCTCTGTTTCCTAGGGAAGCCTGATCCTTATAAGCTTTCTTGTTGTTGGTCTCCATGTCATTAAAAAAAAAATCACAGAATTAAAGTTTTAAGGGTCTGGCTCAACTGCATAGAAAATCATAATTATCAGAGCAAAGTCCAGCACTGCAGAGCAGCACAATTCAGTTCCTACAAGTCAGTTCACACCCAGCCCAGTTCAGCAGGTCAGTGGTATCCATGTGACATCCAAAGGACAGCCATGTGCAAGCAAATCTTACCTGTTCACTCTCTTCTTCATCACTACTTAGCTTAAGGTCATCTTCTAGCATTCTGAAAAAAGTAACAAAGAGGTACAGACACTTAGTAGAGTCACAATAATTCAAAACCAAAATATCATCTTTATAAGATTAGCATTTCAGTAAAAAGCCAATTTGATTCCTTAAGTTTTTTCCCTCTTCCTTTGAAGTGATGTTCCTCTGGTGTACACAGAAAACAGCAGTCACATCATGAAAATTAATGCTCTTGATAGTCATAGGATGAGATGGGGATCCTCCAAGAGTATGCTGTTTTAGACAAATGGATCCAAAGAAGGGCTTTTCCCTAGGAAGTTTTAATTCCACAATTACTTGTTCAGTGCTTTCCATGTCCAGGCAGTGGGCTATGTCTTGGAACTGGCCCAGGGGACATTCATGGTAAAGAAGGTGAGAGACAAGTAGAACTCTGCTGAGAACCATGAAGAAATGGACTTGAGCTATGACAACAGCGTAGGCCTTCCATCAGCGTAAGGGCTGGAAAAGGCAGCTACTCAAAGGTGTGGTAAGTGGAATGCACTGACTAGGAGGGAGCCTCTACATGGACTGTGAGGGCCACTTCCCATCTATACAATGTCCCTCTGAGGAGTCCTGATAGCGGTAGTGAGTTCATAAAAGCTAAATAAAATGCAACTTCTGACCCTACCAAATTGTTATTCTTATCAGCATTGCTGAATGATTTCTTCATAGAGTAGCAGTTTTCAGATTAGTCCATTTAAAAACAAATCTTGCTCTGAAGCACATTCTGTAGAAGTGTTCCACAATAGCAGAGCTGTTCTGCCTGGGAGCTATGAGGACTATACTTGGTATGGCCTGGGGATCCAGACATTGACCCAAAGGCTACAGAGACCTGTGTTTAATGACTCCATTGTCCTCCTTGATGTCCCCCCCAAATGTGTCTAATGTCCTTTAAAGATCAATTATAGGTACCTCTATTTTTGTAAGTTCTTTAAGTGACTTTCAGGGTGAACTGGGGGTAAGCAGCTATAGGGCTGGGCCTGGACTCAGTTCTGCCTCAGATATCTAGGTGTTTGGGGTGTTATTTACCATACCCTCTGCCCACCCCACCCCCATTTCTCTGTTTGTAAAGTAAAAGTTATGCTAGACAATCCTGAAGGTCTAATGCTGCTTTAGATTCCACACGTCTACAAAATAAATTTGCTCCTCTCATCTCATAATGTAGAAAAAATCTTCTGTTTGTGCCAGAGAACACAATTGAGTCATTTCTAAGTCATTTTTGGCATACCATTGAAGCATTACCACTAGGATACCAAATCTGCTTCTTCACAGGCTACTGCCACCCCCCATGGGCAAGTAGCAGTTCTTAATTATTTAAACCCCAAGCAAACACACACAGCGTCAGCAGACACTGCAGAACTTCACCTCCATTACTCTCTGCAACTGGCAGGTCATTCATTTCCTTAACCTCACAAGTGTGCACACTTGGCTTCAAAGATAAGGTACATCTTGGTGATTTATTTGAACATTGTTTGGAAACAACCCAGGGAAAGGGCCTGGGTTTTCTTTGCCCTTGAGTACTGAATGACAAGCATAGTGATGACACTGAGGACAGTGCCAGGTTGTTGGTTGGACTGAGACATCTTCCCCAAGACTATTTTCTTACTAAAAGCTCAAGTGCCTTTCTGATTAAAAAAAAAAAAAAAAAAAAAGACCAGAGAAGGAGACAATTTCTTGCCTTTGCCCTTCATCCCCTCTTTTGAGGTAAACTAACATTGCAGCTTTGTTTAATCTCTAGGATGCCCAGCAGGTATTGAGTGTTCTCAGTGTGGGTCAGTCACATGGGTGGGTAGGGGAAGGGAGGGAGATGCATGCATGTGCGCACACACACACACACACACACACACACACACACAATCATCACAAGCAACCCCTCTATCATTAGATGGAAGTCCTGTCAAGGATAACTAGGAATTTTAATCTTTCTGCAGACAACAGAATAGTGTCTACAGAGTTGAAGGTCACTATCAACCAGAGCCAGAAACCTCAACATGCTTTGAAGTAAAGGGTTTTAGCATGGCTGAGAATCAGCTGTGAAACTTGTCACCCCTTGAGTCATCACAATGACAATAACAGTGTGTGAAGTGCTCTTTTAAGGTAAGGAGCGCAACTTCCTATTGTTTGTATTAAGCGTGTACTAAACGTGTTGCCATTACTTGAATGTGTCACTTCAATGTTCATGTTTTGGAAAGATAATCCCCAGAGTCCTATGTTGATGGTATTTGGAGATGAGACCTTTGTGTTTGCTCTGTCTCACCATGTGATGCCCTCTGCCATGTTATGATATAGCAAGAAGATCCTCGACAGGTGCCAACACTGTGTGCTTAGACTTCCCAGACTCTAGAACCACAGGCCAAATAAACTGTTTTTATAAATCATCTTATCTCTGGTATTTGTTATAGCAATGGAAAACAGACTAAGAGATGTGTCAACACACAAACACATATCTGTTTGAATCTCATAGTGCTTCTGGGTCTTGGCCTTTGTCATTTCTATAACTGAACTCATTTCCCTTTGTCACTATCTCCAGAAGAAAAGCAGCTAGGAATATATGTTGCTTTGTTAATAATAATCACTCTATCACTGATTTTTTTCTATCATATTACAAACAAATTTATTGTGTTTCTGGCTGAGTTCTAAAAACAAAGGATCACATGTGTACAGTTTTGAAAGCTTTAAGTCCAAGATTGGGCAGCCCCATCTGTTGGCCTTTGGTGAGGGACCCCTTGGCTACATTACAACATGGCATCTTGGTAGGAGTACTGTGAAAGGGAGAGATCACGTGGTGAGATAGGAAACTGGAGAGGATTCAGGTTCACTCTCTTATAACAACTTGTTCTTGTGAGAACTAACTTACTCCATGAGAACAACATTAGCCCTGTCTGACGGTGAGGCTCCCAATGTCCTAATTACCTCTACTAGGCCTACTTCTTAAAGGTCCTACCATCTCTTACCTTGGCCACATGGGGGACTAAACTTCCAGCACATGAAACTTTGGAGGACACACTCAAATCTACCCAAGCCACAGCAAAAACGTACTTTGCATCCAAGAGAAACTGATGTTTATGCCTCACCTTAGGCCCAAAGCAATGGTACCAGCTGACCATGAACTGAAACCTCTGGAATTGACAGTCACAATAAGTCTTTCCTTTTTAAAAATTATTTCTCCCAGTGTTTGTTACAGCAATGAAAAACTAAAACACCCTTCACTTTATATCCCCTCAGAGCCCTCTGGGTAACTGAACCCCAGACTCAGCAGAAGCTCTCATTGTTGAATGCATGTATGTGCTGGACCACCTAAGTATTTTCTAGAAATTATCTTAATAAATCCCCAAGCAATTCATCCATGGTGGGAGGTGGGCACTGCTGGGAGCAGCAAGTTACAGGGGTGAGAGCACAAACTCCATGGTCATACTACCCAGGATGCAGCCTAGTTCTGCCAATCAACTAGCTTCCTGAGATCTTACTACACACTGTTTAGAAAGTGCTCAGTATAGAATTTGACATAGGTATGCTCAATCAATTTAAATTTTTATTAGTATATATTAATTATACAAAAATTAGTTTCATTATGGCACTTTCATACACACACACACACACACACACACATATATAATTTACTTTGATCATATCTATTCCCCCCATTACCCTCTCTTGTTCCTGCTTCCCTCTCTCATTGGCCTCCTTCCTTCTCCCTAATAGTCTCCTTTCTACTTTCATGTCTTTTAAAAAAAAATCTGGATTCTTCATATGAGAGAAAATATATTTGTCTTTCTGCTGAGGATGGCTCAGTGGTAGAACACTTGCTTAGTACATGTGAGGTTATGGGTTCAATCTCTAGCACTGCCAAAAAAAAAATCAACGTTAGCCTTTGCTAATACAGTTGGCCCTCTGTACTCTTGGGTTCCATATCCCCAGATTCAAAATATTTGGAAAAAAATTTCAGTTGAAAATGTAGACTTTTTTCTTGTCATTATTCTCTATGCAATGGAGTATGACCCCTATTTATGTAGAAATTATATTGTACTAGGTATTAAAAGTAACTTAGAGATGATTTAAAGTATATGAGCAGATATGCATAGGTCACATACAAATATTATGCTGTTTTATGAGGGACTTGAGTATCCAAAGATTTTGGTATGAGGGGAAGGTCCTGGAATCAATCCTCATGGATACCAAGAAACACCTGTATTCTCTTTTACTATGAGGGAACTGGGCCTCAGAGCAATTAAGAAACTTGCATAGACACACAAACTGAGAAATAAAGACATCTTTGTAATAAACCCTTAAAACTAAGCCACTTGCTCTCCTTTCAGAAGAGGTCTCTTTTTGAAATGACATTCCCTAGTGATCCTGGACAGGGGATGCATTTTAGGTTACAATAGCTACATGGCTGATTGGCCTGACATGGCTTTATGTCTGCCCCAATGCATGGGGAGGTGGCCCAACCTGGGAGCCAGTGGTTGGCCACATAGCTAGGAGTCCCTCATCAGGGCCCACTACCTGATGACTGAGAGGATGCTGAAATAAAATAAGACAATAAATTCAGTTTGAAATTGAGGTCAAAGAGCAGCCTGAGGTTGAGAAACCTGGACTTATGGTCTTAACCCCTAAAGAGCTGTCAAAGTACTGTCAGAGACATTCCAAGCTAGCATAAGGAGTCTGATCCAGGTGACTGAGAAGCATGCCACTAAAGGACACAAGCAGGATTTTTAAAACATGCAATTAAGTGGTTGAGATTCTGTCCATTTTTTCCTTGGGGACTATGTTAGACAGCAGCTTCTTATAATTATTATCCCAGGCATGATATAGGACATTTCCTGATACTGGTGACAGAGGTCAAAAAGGCTTGAGCCATCAGTTAAATGGGCTCATGTGATTATGCAGGAGAGAAAAGAGGTTCTTGCCTGAGCTCAGCAGAGGCAGGGATGAGAGAGAGATTCACTAAGAACTTTAAAGAGGAAGCAAGCCCAGGACATACATGACTTTTTGTGGTTTGTC